CGAGAGCAACATCAAAGGTGTACGACATACATGCCGCTCTAGAAGATGAAAACAATCGCTAAATATTATAGATCTTCATGTTGTATAGCTACATTAGTGATATTGTGAAACAAAAAAATTCCTGCACCGTCTCGATCTCAAGACGTGTTGTTAAAGTAGATGATGATGTCCTGTGTAACTAAAGACATGGCATACTAAAAACAAATCTATCCCAACACCTTCTAGCGCTTCACTGTTGTTACTGTAGAGATTGATGTCGTAAATAAATCTATCCCATCACCTTCTAGCTCCTCACTGTGTGTTGTTACTGTAGAGATTGATGTCGTAAATAAATCTATCCCATCACCTTCAAGCTCCTCACTGTGTCTAGTTACTGTAGAGATTGATGTCGTAAATAAATCTATCCCAGCACCTTCTAGCTCCTCACTGTGTGTTGTTACTGTAGAGATTGATGTCCTGCAGACCGTACAAGTTATTGAGCACCTCCTTCTCAGTCTTACCTCCCTTGTGTGTATCTGATAACAAAGACAAATAGAGAATAAATTGAAGTTATCAAATACGCAATATAAAACAAGAAGGAACTCCTCTAACTGTCTAGTTTGTGCACTAATGATAGACATGGGATGGTTCTTGCAAAATAGGTTTTAAAAAATGAAAGTAAATAGTGCCAAATAAATGTTTCAACTATGATATTAAATTGTCCAATAAAAGGTGTTTTGTGTAAAGTAATACTTTTGATAGACAGAATTCGCTTAAAAGTTAAAAGAAACAGACGTATAAGATATTATACATCATTTAACACGACAAAGACAAGATCAATGTTCGTCGTACATGATTTTTTAGCAGTTCCAGGTTTAAAATTTCTACACCTAACTGAAACTGTACTATTGTTTGAGGTTCATATTCCTGTTTTTATTATTTTGGCTAATGATCATGAAATTCAGTAGCCAGAGCGACTAACACACATGTAGAAAAAAGTATTACATTAATACAAAGATTAAATTGCATTGTTTACCAAAGATATTTTTTTTAGGCAGGATACACACTTAGAAAGTATGGACGGAGGAGACAAACTATTACAAAAAAAAACAAGGAAGAAAATCCTCCTGAACATGACCTAGTGAGAAAGACTTCCTGTGCGTCCTACGTCATGTATGTCTCAATGTTAGATGTAAAGATAGCAAATTATTGTAACACGCTTAAACGTTTTTTACATTGTCTAACACTCCACGCTTTTTTACAGAATTAAGATACATCCGCATATGCATTTCCACTAAAAAAATTGGTGGAAAAATCTTGGTAACTATGAAAACGGCGGCCAACTTAAAAAATTAACCCCTTCGTAGGTTTTCCACCATTCATAAAATATTACATTTTAAACCCAATAAACAATCAATTCATAATCTTCTTCCATATTTTGGGGCACTCAGCTAAAAATTTTAAGTGCATATCTTCAATCTAATTTTTTATGAATTTTCAAAATTTGTGTCCGTTCAAAACACTTAACTTTGGGGAATTTTGGGGCATTAAAACTAGTAGGCGCTATGCGATATCTATCTTCGTCAACAGGAAGATTCAATTATGTCGTATCTAGTGTAGATCTTGTTTTATTTTGTCTCTCTTTATATCAGCTCTGCAGCTTCCTGAACCAATTTAAATTAAAGATGTTTAATGTAAGATTAAAATTATAAAAAAAAACAATTATATTACTCATGAGCTATGTCTAATGACAAACAAATTAGCTGTTCCTAACTTAAAGACAAATATTTCTAACCTATTTGCTCTAAGTTGTTTTTCATTTAATTTCTCGAATATAGCCTACTTTTTGCAATTGACTCTTATAAAATACAAGAATAATCATCTCTAGATCAATTATAATAAAATAACGTCGGCTACAACCTATATTATTTGAGGTTTATTCAAATTGAATAATTTTTAACGGTTCAGACGGTTAGTTCTCTGTCAAACACTCATTAAATAGCACATTAATTGTACAACACAACAATGAGTAGCCAAACGGAGATTTGGTGTCACGGGATGTGAAATCAGCGCTTACATGCAGGGGCGTAGCGAGGGGGGGGGGGCGGGGGGTGCGGACCGCACCGGGTGACACCATTTAGGGGGTGACACCAAGGCAAAAAATAGCAAAATATATAGAGAAAAACTCGAGGGGGGGGGGTGCAAATCGAAAGTTTGAGGGGGGGTGCAAATCGAAAACTCGAGGGGGGGGGGGTGCAAATCGAAAGTTTGAGGGGGGGGGGGTGCAAATCGAAAATTTGAAAGTTTGTCCCTGGGAAGGGTCTCTATGCCTCTGGGGGGGTGACACCATTAAGTGCCGCACCGGGTGACACCTGACCTCGCTACGCCACTGCTTACATGTCTAAGTTATGCATGATTCACCAAGTGTCTCTCTCAATACCAGCGTAAATTGAGTTGCCTCTTTACAACCATGACATCCATGGTAGATTTGAGAAATCGTGAATTGGAGTTTCACACATACTCAGTTATTGATGATAAAATTTAAATGTGTTAAAATTTACCAACTTAAACAAAAGGTAAACACCATTGAGTGCAGTGATCTAAATCAGAGAGGAACAGAAATTGGGTGAATAAGCAACTGCATGTTATTATTGATGGTTTATATCTATTTACTTATCTTTTGCTTTATCGTTAACAAGAATAACACATCTAACAAACGCTTACAAACACACACATACATTCACACACGTTCAGATACATTCACACACATTCACAAACATACATACACTAGCACACACACACACATATATGTATATATATATATATATATATATATATATATATATATATATATATATATATATATATATATATATATATATTAGCATTGCAATGTTTAAACATTAATAAAACATAAGTTTGAATTAATAAAAAATCATGGTATAAAAACACTAAAATGAACTACGTTTCGCAAAGCAAAGTCGCCGTACTTCACTTAGAATTGACTTACGCTATTCTATTATATTCGTTTAATAATAACCAAGAATATTGATTAGGCTATTTAATTCTAAAAAAACTCTTTACATGTGAAATCTTTCATTAGCAAAATAAAATGTAATCCATTTATCTTTAGAAGCTGGACTGTTCAATTGCTCACTTTATCTTGGAACTGAGATGTTAATGGTTAGCATGTTTCATCAGTATTTATTTTGTTTGGTTGCACTTGTTGTTATCAAGTTTATTCTATATTTATTTTTTCTCAGTCTAAATCAATATATTCGAATCGATTGTATCACAGTAATAAAAAAAATGCGTATATAGGTATAGGCTACCATTATTTGCTATAACTATTGTTAACCAACTACACACATAGTAACAAACTAGATACTATAAAATGATTTATTGTCGTTACCTTCATTAGGCCTATACTAGCTATTATCATTAACTAGCAATCACCTTGATCCCACCACGCTATACACTGCTCTGCCATCGTGTAAAGCAGTGTTTCTTCCAGACTTTTTTCTCCGAGGGAGGGGGGGGGGGGGGCACTTGAAATTTTCGGGGGGGGGGGGGCGGTAGACTTTCATCGGGGGGGGGGGGGGGCGGCCACTGTTAAAAGTATATATTTTCTATATAAATTATATAAATTACATTTCGTTCGGGGGGGGTACCTAAGTATCATTTTATTATCTTTTTGTTTTTTTTATTTCCATTTAGTTAAAACATAGGGTTAGATAATTCTTAGCCTTATTATTGAGGATATTATATTGTGTTGTCAAATGTTTATGTGCTGGTATAATCTGTATTAGTATACCCCAATACATAGGAGAAGTCTATAGTATAATAAAAAATGTGTACAATGTAAACGAAATAGGCTATATATTGACACAATGTGCATTACTGTAGAAATCTGACAAAAAAATGTGTGTTGTTTATTAGCAAAGTTTAATTTTTAAATTTTACTACATAGAAAGCTAGCTTTTTTAAATGTAAAGATAAAGTAAAAGTGCATTAAATTTGTTTATAATTTATTTAGAACAGCGTTGTGAAATTTGCGTTAGCAATATTTTAAAACAAAAAAGGTCAAAAGAAAGAAAGAGCATGAATATATTTAACTATCACTACAAAGTGTTTAATGCACGAGTACAGCACACTTTAAATAAAATGTCACTAAATCAAATATTAAGTGAAAAAAATATAAAAAATAATTTAAACCAAATTGTGTTGTTAGACATTGCATTTCTTAAACGACGAGCTTAATTTGGAACTAATTCTAACATTCTATATTTATTGACTTATGTAATTGTCACTAATTTTGTTATAGTAGTAGTTATCACACATTTCAAATTCAACGTACCATTTGAATGTAGAAACAGTTACGCGTTACGGAAGCTTGAATGAATTCATTTAAAAAGGAAAATTGAATTTTAAATTTAGTTTAAAACAATTTAAGATGGAGAATATTTTCAAAAACCTTTTTTCAGCCATAAGTCAAATAGTTGAATAAATCAAAAACGGAATTTTACATGTAAAATAAAAGCAGACAAGTATAATCATTTATTATAAGTTTAAGCAGGCGATAAATAACATAAAAAAGGGTAGCGTATTTAATTAATCAAACTCTTTATGTAAAAATGTTACTTGCTTCCAAACATCGATTAAAACGACCGTTAAAGGAAAACTTCTAACAACTAAGACACAAATAGGTAGTTAAATAAAATATGGGAATCACTTTTTATTTGGTAAATATTGTTATAATTGCAAAAAATGTATAATTAAATTAATGACAACAAATTTAAGTTACTTGTACTAACTGTTTTCATTTACCCATCGTAAACTGATTTACTATTGAAAAAATAGAATTAGAATATAAAAAATGAAGTCTGGCATAAATAATAAATTACTCTTCGATGTCACCACTATAATCAATATAACACAAATTAACATAATTAAGAACAACAGCCTATCATAAAATATTATAAGATAGGTGCATGTTCTGTGTCATGGACAGAGTCGGGGACTTAGTTAGGGATATTATAAACGTCTAGATAATCATTGTAAGAGTTTTCGTCAAGTCTATCATAAACATTCATTAGGTCGGATAGTTTGGGCGGTCCGGAAAGATTTCCCACTGATCGTGTTTGATCTGTTTCCTGTCGTGTTGACGGATTTGTTTCTTCATTAGCGCCTACTTGGCACATGCTATGCTCTGTTTCTTGTATGACATTGTAAGGATTTTCGCTGTTTGAACCTTCCAGTGCATGTTCACAAATTCTCGTATTGTCAACTCTTACATTTCCAACTGACTCGGGTTCAACGTCAAAGCCTACAGCTGGATGTACGTTTCTGTATATATTTTCAATAGGAGGCGAACCAACAGACGTACCAAGCACTAAAAGATAACCATCTTCGTCAAGGGGCAGGTTCAATGATGTTGTGTTTAGATTAGGCTCTGTTTTATGTTGTCTCTTTCTTTTATAAGCAGTGCATCCTGAACAAAGTTTAATGCAACATATTGTATAAATGATTAACAATACCAGAATAAAAACTGTGTTATGTTTAATCAAAACCGTTGTCTGCATTGTATTAAATTAAATTAACTTAATTGCATTACACATGGTTAAAACATGTGTTTAATTGGCCCTACCGTTGAGACAAATCTTCCTAATCTCTTTGCTCTAAATATTAATATAAATTAACCACACGTTTATTTATTAAAATAGTAGCATACTATTATACATTTCATATTTCAAGCAATTTTTAAAAAATCTTTATTACATTTAAAGCCTTACAAATATAAAAACCTATTACCTTTTTTGACAGATAGTGCTATTACAAAACCTATGAGAACCACTAAACATGGTGGAATGATGTAGTAAAGTAAGTTCGTGTCTGACACTTCACTTCCCGAATCAATTTTTCGTGAATCTAAAAGCAAAGCATTTAAATACATAATAGTGCTTCAAATAATCTGCAACACAGACGTGTGTGAACATAATAACATATTCAATAAGGGTTTGACTTGGATATCATATGATTAATCGAACAAGAAAAGTTTGTATTGTAGAATTTAGTTTAGTATAATTTGTGAAGGATTGTGTATCACGTGATGGATTTTTAAAAATTTTTGTGTATGGTAAGAAACGCTAACACGTTGCCTGAAACCACCAGACTGACATCTAAATGTGGACACTCTGTAGCACTGAGCACATTTTGTACTTGAACGGAGAATACAAGCGACGTATCCATATAGAGGTTTCTTACAATGTAAACCATAATTTCTTTGTTATCATCAACAACAGTTGCTACTACGGTCCTATTTAAGCTGGTGCTTCTGTGGCTAAGGAAAACAAATGTCTGTGTTAGTCCGCCATTGTGGCCAGGTATCCATGAGATGATGACGCTGTCATTATTTTTTAATTTTACGTCAAATAGATTTGGACAGTCGGGAGGCCCTGGAAAGAAAATTAAAGAATTTAATAATATATTGGTTTTAATAGAGTATTGATGTTGGGCGCTAGCCTTTTTTTTTAATGAAAAAAAAATAAAAGTAATAGATCCGTAATATTATTTTTTTATCGTCTGCTTATGGCATGTCTTGCTTACATTTTGGTTTGTTAGAGCACATTTACTTCTGTCCGGGGCATTCATTGAAAAAGTCGCTTACAGTTTAAGGTTGGGGGGGGGGGGGTTAATTGCCAGACGAACTCTAACAGATAGACGGTCATTTTAAATGGACGATCATTTTGGTGGCAGTGATTTTTTTAATGCAGTTTTGGTAATTATTGCATTTGTAGAGGATGAATTCCGAAGAAACAGAAGGCACCTTATAAGAGGAGTTTTTTTACCATTACTAAATTGTAGAAACCTTTAAATCGGTAGTCAGAAAACTGTAATTTGATAAGCATATATTTTGGTCTTGACTTAATTTAGTGTTAGGTCCAGTAAAACGTTGGTATTTAAATGGTTGTCACTGTTCATTATTCAAATATAACCAACATACCTATTGTTATAACATAATCATGTGTTACCCCTTGTGTTGACTGAATGAAATCGGGATACATTGTGACTTTAATCTTAAACACTCCTGTAAAGTCAGGCCTAAAACTTGCCGTACATGTCGTGTTGTAGTAAACAGTTTCATCCAGTATGTATGTCTTGTGTTGGGTAGACTCTAGTAGAACCTATATTTTCGATATTATTTTATAAATATAATTTTAAAAAAGGTAAACTTATACAAATTTGCTGATCCAAGTAATGAGTAAAAATACTTGTCGTTGAAAGTATTTTGCATTAAAAAAGACGAAAACAAACCTCTATCCGGTCTACACCAAACGACGCCTCCCATATACATACCGCCTCTGGGTAAACTTTAGATGTGGAGGAAGTCACTAGGACGTGGGTGGTGTTAGAGGTGTGTTGGCAGACTGGGGTTTGTGGGGTGGCTGTCAAATAGAATGAATCATTTATATATATAAGTATGATTTTTAAAGGAATATATTTTAGTTACCACAGCTGTCTGCGTAGAATGACAATTTTTTAAATAGCTTTTTCAACAAACGAGTGGGTTTTGTTTCGCGACATCAGTTTTCTATGTTATAAAATATTTGAAGGTGTTAAAATATCGTATCTTTTATAGTGAATTCATGATATAAAAATTTGATTTAATACATATGTATCCAAATGTTTCAAACAGAGACATAAGATTATGTTTTATATTAATGTTAGCAATTTATACATATATATTAATACTTCAGTGTAACGTCATGTATTTGGGCTACCTAATGTGAAAACATGATGAATAAATTTCAGGTACGCAATAAGGAAATGTTTATTACCCTAATGCAAAAAGTATTTACTTTCCAGTTAATACTCACCGTAAACTGCTAGGTTGCAGCTCTTGTTCATGTTATGTGTACCGGATCTTACTGTAAAACTTATAAAACACGTCCATGTCCCCTCGTCTTTTCTCCTTACTGTGCTGATGTTTAGTTGTGATGTGATGTTAGAGCCAACTGTTTGATTACTTGTAGTGTAGCCATTTGTAGGACACACATTTTTAATGTTGTTTCTACAGAACTGGATGCTTGTATTTCGGGAAACTTCATAGGTCTCTACACGGCACGACAGCGAGTGATTCTGTTTTCCTTCTTCAGCGATAGGACATGACAGAACTACTTCTGGCAGGACTGCTTCAAAATATAATTTTAGTTTTCAAAACGATTTGAATTAACAACATTTTATTAGCTTAAGTGGGCATCATCGATTTCAGGCTAATATTGCCAGCATCGGAACGGTGTGGCCAGGCGGTAGAGCGTTAGACTGCTGACCCGAAAGTTTCGAGTTTGGAACCTGGGATCTAGTCTGTAGGTCTTCACCCAGCTCTGATGAGTACCTCACTCACATTAGGGAAACATAGGCGGTTGGTTATATAACCGACTTGTATGCCAAAGTCATTGAAACAGAAGTACTCTAATGAATCTGCTCTATGTGTCTCGGGCATACACGGGAAAAGATAAAGGTTCACACTATTTAATGAGTTTAAATGCAGTGATGATATTAATATTGTGTAAGTTGCCTCTCCCAAACGAATAGGTAAAGAAATACAAAAATAATCGAGCGGAGTTTTATAAATAGTTAAAACATTACATTCTAAAGCCAAAAATTAGCTAGTTAAGGGGGGATATGCTCGTTTCAAAATCACAAAAATCCAGATTTTTTCGTCATTATGGGTTTCGTGCTTTTTTTGGATATTTTGTCCATTTTTGTAGAATATAATAACTTTAGTGAGGAAAAAAACATGTGTGTTTAAAATATCAATTTTATAACGTTATCAATTATGAATTTTTTTTTCCCAATGTTACAAGTTTTCTGCGAAAAGTTTTATATCCGTCATCATATTGTAATCTAATCGTATTCGTGACCTACTTATCGTTTATTTTTGTTTTGTTTTTTTTCAGTTCGCAGTTTTTTAACACTAAAAAGCTTACTAATTTTCTATTTTCAATAATAGTCCTTGATGCAAAAACCAAATTTGTATACGAGGGAATTGTAATAGCTGAAGGCTATTACGGATGTACAGCATCTGTTGTAGACAAGAGTTAATTGTGACATTATTGAAACTTAAAGTTATGAATTGAACATTACCATCTTACCGAAGACTTAAACGCCGAGAATAATCTTACCTGAGACATTCACGCTGAAATTTAAATCTGGACACACTGTTGTACTGAGCATATTTTTAACGTCAACAGTGAAAACAAGGGACATGTTCATGTGGAGGTTCCTTACAGTGTAAACCATACTTTTATTGTTATCATCAACAACAGCAGCTACCAAGGTCCTATCTAAGCTGGTGTTTGTGTGGCTATAGAAAACAAATGTCTGTGTTAGTCCGCCATTGTGGCCAGGTGTCCATGAGATGATGACGCTGTCATTATTGATTAATTTTACGTCAAATTGACTTGGACATACAGGGGAACCTGTAAAGAAACAAAATCGATAATATCATTTTTTCAATCGATCATGGACTTTTTGTCGTGAGCCGTTCAGTATAGGAAGAAAATGTTTAAAGCGTCAATGTGAAGAGTCGCTGCGAAAAAACAAAATGTGGTGGGGTGCTTCATTTGCAGTAACACTTAGTTGCAAGACTTGATTTTTACGGAAGGATTTTGGTGGTATCGATTTATCGAAAACAGTTTTGATCATTCCACATCGGTGTAGCACGTATCCCGAGCTAATGGAATATCTTCAATGTTAATATGCACTTAATACACGGTATACGGTGAATTTTGTTTTCAAGACCAATAAAAGTAAAATGCTTCAGAACTGTAGCATACAAATAGTAATCTTACAAGCAGGTGTATCTTTCTTACCTGAATCACATGTTAGGCTTAATAAAATGATTGTATTAAACAGGTTGTCAGTGCTAATCATCTAACTAACTTACCAATTGTTACATTATGTTCCTGTGTTACCCCTTGTGTTGACTGAATGACATCGGGATACATTATGACTTCAATCTTGTACACGCCTGTAACGTCAGGCCTAAAACTTGCCGTACATGTCGTGTTGTAGTAAACAGATTCATTCAGTATGTAGGCCTATGTCTTGTGTTGGGTGGACTCTGGTAGAACCTATAATATCGATGTTTTTTTTTTTGCAAAATGAATTTTTAGAAAGATAATCTTTTGACAATTTGCTGCGCAAAGTAATGAGTAATAATACTTGATGTTGAAAATATTTCGCATAAAAACGGACGAAAACAAACCTCTATCTCGTCTACACCAAACGACGCCTCCCATTTACATACCGCCTCTGGGTAAACTTTAGATGTGGAGGAAGTCACTAGGACGTGGGTGGTGTTAGAGGTGTGTTGGCAGACTGGGATTTGTGGGGTGGCTGTAAAATAGAATGAATCATTTATATATAAGTATGATTTTTAAAGGATTATATTTCAGTTAATACAATTTTTTAACAACTTTTTCAACAAACGAGTCAGTGGCGTAGCTACCGTAAAGCTAGCGTAAGCAAGGCATAGGGGCCCGAAGCAAATAGGAGCCCTTTTCCCTCTATTTTTAAAAACTTTTACAGTGGAATTTTAATATTTGTATTAAAATAATTATTATTTTAAAAAGTAAACGGAAATCCACTTTCTTTTCTACTGTAGAAGTAAGTTCCAAAAGTTCCAAAAAGGCCCCAAGACTTTTCTTACTGGGGATATGTTGTACAGGGCCCACTATATGCATTGTTGCATTGTCAGACAAGCCGGTGAGAGAATTTGTCTATAAATAAACTTGAACATTGACTCTTTTGTGAGATTGGCATCCGGCACCCGTAAATTTATACGCATCGCTAAAAACTCTCTACCCCACCGATACTAACCCGCACCCCCTTCCTTCTCAATTCTCTGTCATTAACGAAATTCCATTCATTCATGATTACAATTGAGCAATTATTTGGTTAACAGCCGTGGACAGTGTTTTCACAACAAGCTACGTCGAAAATTTGTCAATATTTTTCTGCTAGATATAACCTTAATCACAAATGGTTTGTTGGTCTAATTTCTCTAATCAATGTGCCGCTACTCAAAGATTTTTTATCTCCTTGCACTTTATGCATTAATACAAAAATCATCCAATCGCCAAGAAACATTGAGAAGTCGTTTAGAATAATTCAGACAAACCTCTACTGACCGTGAAATTTCCTACCACAACCCCACACGAGGAGCAGTACCTACCCCCTCGAAGAGAAGTCAGAAAGAAACTCTGACTCCTGTAAAGTTTTCTGACATTAAATATTTTTTATTTCGTTTGGAGAGCGGCTCCCTCACAAAGTTACCCTACGGCTTTCTTAGCACATGGGTTCAGTTAATTGAGCGTCCTGCACAAGAGGTCCGGGTTACTTCATAATCCAATGGTCAAACTGCACAGGTGCATCAGCCGGCGCCCCGGGCTCACCCCGTGAGCACTACGGTGCATACACGTGTTTTAATTAGCGCCATGCCCTAGGAATACGGAGGGCTACTATAATCAATGAATAAAGAAAATAAGGCCGTCTCTCCAATATTATTATGTTATGAAACAAATTGTAGATATGTCCTTTTGGGTCAGTAACTTAGCCATTCTTAGAATCGAACATACAGGAGCAGCTAAAATGGACTTCAAGGAACATATAAACACTTTGCAAACTTATGAGAAAGGAAAAATCATATAAATAAATCATGTACAACTTTTTAAAATTTGTATTTTGTTAGTGGCGACACGAGGGTCGATATCACCCCGTGCGTTTAGTGAGTGTCATTCCCCCCCCCCACCCCCCCCCCCACCCCCCCCCCCCCGCCCGTCCAACCATTTTGCATTTCCGGTGGAGTGTTTCCCCCTCTCCTTAATATTTTATTATTTTAACTGAATGAAAGATAATTTTGACAGTGAGTTAAACGAGTTTTCGTCATGTTGTCACGCACAAAATAGTGAGCCCCCCCCCCCCCTGCCCTGTGACGTTACTGTGTTAGGTTACTTAATAAATGTAATAGGCTTACAGTTAATTTGTTACTTTGTTTTACATAAAAATGATATAAAATCAAAGGTATTTGCGTTACGGAGTAATACATAATAATGCCGTATAAATACACAATTAAGACGTATAAAATACATAATTTGCAGATTGACGTGGAGGCCCATTAAAATTTTTTGCATAGGACCCAAAATTACTAGCTACGCCACTGAAACGAGTGGGGTTTTTTGTTTTGCGACATCAGTTATCTCTGTTGTAAATATTTGAAGGTGTTAAAATAGCGTATCTTTGAATTTATGATTTAACAATTTGATTTAATACATGTGTATCTAAATGTTTCAAACCGAGACATAATATGTATTATATTAATGTCAGCAATTTATACATATATAGTCATACATTTAGTCATGTATTTGGGATATGTATTGTGAAAACAAGATGAAGGAATTTCAGGTAGGCAATAAAGAAATGTTAATTACCCTATTACAAAAAGTCTTTAGTTTTCAGTTAATACTTACAGTAAACTGTTAAGTTGCAGCTGTTGTTCATGTGATGTGTACCGGAGCTTACTGTAAAACTTACAGAACACGTCCATGTACCCTCGTCTTTTCTCCTCACTGAGCTGATGTTTAGTTGTGTTGTGATGTGAGAGCCGACTCTTTGATTACTTGTAATGTAACCAGTTGTAGGACACACACTTTTAGTGTTGTTTGTACAGAACTGGATGCTAGGATTTCGGGAAACTTCATAGGTCTCCACACTGCACCACAGCGAGTGATTTGGTTTTCCTTCTTCAGCGATAGGACATGTGAGAACTACTTCCGGCAGGACTGCTTTAAAATAGAATTTTACTTTTATTCTTAATATTTGGATTAACAAAAGAGTATTGTTATTATGGGCATCATCAATTTTGTGTTAATATTATCAGAATAGGGACATTGTGGCCAAGCGCTATAGCGCTAGACTGCTAACCCGAATGTTTCGAGTTATGAACCTGGGCTCAAATTTGTAGGAGGTCAAAGATCTCACCCAGCTCAGAACAGTACCTGACTCACTTTAGGGAAATAAAGGCGGCTGGTCATAGTGTTGAATTTTATGCCAAAATCCTTGAAACAGAAGCGGTATACTTTATCTGCCCCATGTGTCTTGGGCATGATAGGGAATGATTATTACCACGTATAGTACAATCACATAAGTTTACATGCATTGATGTTAATAATAGTGTGTACTTGCCTGTCTAAAAAATAATTGGTAACACAATACGAAAATCTTTGTCTGACGTTTTATCCATTAATAAAACCTTACATTCTGAAGCCGAATGTTCGAGTTAAATGGTTTTTCTTTTGTTTTGCATGCATTAAAGAATAATCTTTTTTGCTTTAATGTTTTAATTGGGATTTGAGTCCCAAAATAACTGCTAAATTATTAAAGGAGTGGCTTCTACTGGTAGACTCCTAGCCTGCTAGCCCATTGAATACATCCAGCTCTCATGGGTACCTAACTCACGTTAGTGAAACAAACGTGGCTGACCACACTATCCCCTTGTATGCTGAGGTCTTTTTAAACTGATTTGTCTTTGTCATAAATGGAAAAAGACAATGATTGATTATTGTCATGAAACTATTCATATTATTTGTAATATTTCTGTAAAGTTCAAGTTAAACCATGAGTTTAGTCTCTTAGTAAACTATTAGATTTGGAAAAAAAATGAGATAAACATATAATGCAATCGACATTCTTCAGAAAATTATTTTTTTATTTAAATATTTAAAAACCTCGAAGTAATATTAACTAAAATGGAAATTTATTTACTAACGCAAAGTGTGCACAAAGCGGGAGTGATCTCCCCTAAAATTTATCGAATAATCTTATATATTCATACATGGGACGGCAACTGGTACATTAATTGTAGAAAAATGCAGAATATCAGAATGTTATAAATTCATAGGCATTTTTTTAGAAAACGGAAATAGCGAAAAGTCCTACTTTTGCTCAGTGAAAATAAGTCAACATTTGAAAGAAAACAGACAATTAGTTATTTCACTTAGATTAGAAATCTCAATATCTATCAGAAACAATAATCAGAAATGTAAAAAACAACATCCGAAATAGCATAAATCCCACCTCTATTTATTGGAAAAATTAGAACAAAACTATAACTTTGATGTAATACTCATCTATGAAATTTCATCAACCTAGCTGTAACTGTAACGGCACTGAAGTTATCGGGTACACAGACATACACACACACACACGGTCAGACATACTTACAAAATTGCAAAGCCAAGTTTGTTCGACTCGATGACGCGTAAAACGCCAAGCTTTTGACCAATCTAGATTTAGAATTTGTTTCCCGATTGAAATAAGTGCCTTATACTCCGTATATGATAAATGAGTGACGTGTAAAACGGTGAAAACTGTCACAATTTAATTCCTCTATACTCCGTATTCGAGAAAGTAAAAATGTAAGTCCGAAGATAAAATTGAAAAGAAATGTATTGCAAAGATGAATTCTTGGTTTTCAGAAAACCGCGCGTCAAGTTGTTGCTAATTAAATTCACCTGTGGCAGACTGACATATGAAATCAGCAGGTGTGAAAAAATCATGTTTCCTCCATCCTTCTGCTGTAGCCACCACGGCTCTCTTGTATTTATCTTCTACATACGATGTTGTTGCCCAATCAAAGTATGTGACACTCTGTGGTTGTAAGATTGTTAGGATATAATTATATGCAGTATAATTAAAATATATAACCCGACAAAATACTATATTATTTACAGGTTAAGTCAACATTGTATTTCAAGTACAATACTTGAATATAATACTTTTGTATTTTTTTTATTTAAATTGAAAGGTACAACATTTATAAACTGATTTGTGAGTAGAAAATATTTTACTTTCAATTGATACTGCCCTCTTAACTGGTTAAACTTAAAATCAAACATTTAATTTCGCATATATATAATGAAGGTTTATTTTATGAGGTAACATACAGCTATTTTAGAATTGCAATTTATCAATCTTTGTTA